CTTCGCATACAGTTCCAAATCCGGTGCTGCATTCATGACAATCGATAAGCTCGAAACCATCGGGCGTGAAAATCTGCAAAATTTGTGTAATACAGCTAATCAGTGAAACTGTTTGTGCAGTTAAAGCAATGTTGCATATTAAAGGAAGAAATTCATGCTACGATCGGGAGATGTGCTGTGAAGCAAAGAAATGTGAGTTGATTTCAAATTTGCGGCCCTGCACATGATCCGACCCAAAATTTCAGGCTCTCAGCTTCTGCAGTACCGAATCTGAATTCAATTTTATCCATCAGCTAAACGCAACAAGCTAGTCAAGGGAGGTAAGGCTGTGCATGCAATGAACTAATGACCATTTAGGAAACTAATGACCATTTAGGGTTCACTTCCCCCAATTCTGCCTTTTCTATCTGCTTAATCGTCTTTCCTTACTCTCTTCCTATCTTTCATCTCTTCTTTCATTTTTCTTCTTCCTTACGCACTGCGACCGTCATAATGAGTCGCAGAGTGGAGTTAAGGCGTATATGACTCAATGGACCGAAACGTCTTGGCTCACTCTTAACCTCAAACTTCACTACCCTTTCTTGCTTGTTCGCCCCATCGTCTGCCCTTCCAAGACTGACCTGGGAGCTGCAACCTATTTAGAGAGAAAATATGAGCAAAAAACGATGAAAGTGTTGTAAAGAATTATTAAACTAGGTAAGAAATGTTTCGGTCCATTAAGTCGCATACATCTTGCTTTTCAACTGGTAGTGTGGGCCGGGATGGTGCGATTAGACGTCATCTAATTTGGCTACGAATGTGGGAGCAAAGGATGCGGACATACGTGGAATGAACACGCAAAACTCCTTCACACCTTGCCAATCTGTACTTCCGCTGTCAACCTGGATGCTGCAATCTGCTTAGGGTGCAAGAAATGAGAACACTCACTTTGTAGCATTGTAATCGTCCACTCGTCCCGGTCTCAGGATCTTTTTCGGGATCGCACCTTCCTTATTGCTCTTTTCGGCTTCCTCATCGGATCCTTTTCGTTTTGACGAA